GCCAATTAGATTGAACCACCAACCTTACGTTTAACAGTGTAGCACTTCTCCTACAGTTCCATGTTGATCAAAATAAATTTTTAAAAGGAAGAATACTGATTAATGCATAGGTATAAAATAATAATCCCTTGCAGATGTAAAGATATTAGCTGTTAATAATGTATGCCTCTCGAGAATTGGGGAAAGAAATAGAAAAAATGTATTTTATCATTTAATCTACTATTTTATTATTTTACACCATGGATGGATGTTCATTACTTCAATAATAAATATGATAGATTTTTTTTGTTTGATTTTTAAATCTACATGATAAAACTTCGCATATATTGTTGTTATTAAGTGCTATAGAGTTGGTCCTGACTCATAGTGCCCCTGTAGAGGGCTTGTGAGGAGCAGCTGGTAGGTTTGAACTGTCAACCTTGTGGTTCCCAGTCTAGTGCTGATCCTATATCACCACACCAGGAGTACAATACCTAATAGTAGTAAAAACGTCAAATGGATGAGTCCATGACTACTTTGATACTGATTTGGCAAAAAAAAACAGTCAAAAGACAAATATTCACAACAGCTGTGATAGAATCTGTGTACCTCCTAAAAAAAACTTTTTTTATTTTACTAGTAGCATTCTTAGATGGTAACCACAGTTTCAAAAGACAGGGTTGGACGGAAGTCAGACAATTGAAGTACTGGCCCTTAATACATTGATAATTTATGGTGAAACATTAGGCTAAAACTGCTAACTTTTATGCCCCATTTCTTTATCTATAAAATAGGCATAATATTAACCGCTGTGCTGAGACAATTGTCAAAAATGAAACATAAATGAAATGTTTTTTGAAAAAGAAATAATATTATTAAAACTGACCTGGTGTTGTCAGAAGACTACTGGCTGTTAGCTTTTCTGTAAAAAATAATAAATGACATAAAATAATTATTACATATTTTAGACTGATTATTAGGTCTTGAGTGATTATTCTTGCTGTTTCCTATTTAACTTGTGCTTTCTCTTTTGTTTTTGTTTTTAAGTTCTGTGAATAATTAGTATCTGTTAACTTTGTAACCCCTGAGATGTTGAAAGAGAACAACTGTTAACCAAAAGATTGGAAGTTCAAATCTATCAAGAGGTGCCTTAGAAGACAGCCCTGAAGAATTACTTACAAATAATCAGCTTTTGAAAACCTTGTGGAGCACAATTCTACTCTAATACATACAAAGTTGCTACGAGTTAGAATCACCTCCATAGCAAGTGGCTTAACTTTGGAATATTTCACTTATATCTGGATCTAAGTATGAAGGTAAATAAAAAAGTATTATTTCTAGGGTTTCAATTCATAAATGATTTCCAAACAACATCTGTTTAAGCATATTTCTGTGATATGTAGATGACTGCAGATAAGTTCTCTAAGTTATACACTTGTTTTAGTTTTGTTCAGGAGCCTAGAAAAAACTGTTCAAATAAAGCAGTATTTTCTAAGGGGATTTGCTGGACCAGTTAAATTCATGGCAGAGAGGTCAGCTCAGAAGTTTATGGTGACAATTTATTTTGGGATTCCATAGGGGTAATATTGATAAGTTTGATCAAAGAACACATGACAATTATGGCTTATTAGAATTTAAGTTTTGAGAAAATTGAAAACTGCATTGGTGAGAAAAAGGCCAGGACAATTTCTCTGAGAAATTACTTTTCCAATACAACAATGCACCTGCTCATTCTTCAAGGATAGCAAGGCTACCCTATGAGAAAATCTTCTGCTCATTTGTATGCATCAGCCCTTATTTTGCCTTTCAGATTTCTTTTTGTGCCCCAAACTTTAAAGATTTAAAAGAAACAGGATTTAAATCTCTTGAAGATACAAAACTGCTTTTTTTTTGATGTTGTGTAAATTGAAGAGTGCAGAATTTTTCAGGGAAAAGTTAGAGAGGAGATACTACCTTCAGAAGTTGATAAACCTAGATGGAGAATATGTCAAGAAACAATAGCTTCACATTTTGCTATTTTTAATTAATAAAGATTTCTATGATTTTGTTAAAATACATTTTAACTTATATAATTTGTGTATGTTTTCATTTATGTCTTAACATTGTAGAGTAAAGGTTTCTAGATTTTTCATTAATCTTTCAAACAAATGTATTTTATAAGTAAAGAAGACAATGTTTTTCAGTGATCAATAACTAAACATGATGATTACTTAGTGACTGGAAAAAAATGTTATCTCAAAAAGAACCATAGAGAATCCTCAGATCTTGACCTTCAGAATCAGAGAAAACTACTTTTGATTTCTGAATTTGGTAATTAACAGATGCGTGATCGTGAGAATATTGTTTAATTCTCAATTTGTTTCTTTTGAAATGGAAAACAGAAAAAGATGAACTCTCTACTGTAACATTCTGAGAATTTAATGAGGATGTTGTTGTGCCTTCTAGTTAATTCTGACTCATAGAAACAGAGTAAAAATGTCTCATACAGTTTCTTCACTACAATGTTTATAGAAGTCCATTGCCAGGTAGTTCCCTCAAGGAGCTGCTAATTGGGTTCAAACTGCCAAAATGTTAGTCAATAGTTATTTAGTCATTGTACCATTGGCATTTGTAAACTATGGTACCTGACCCAAGCAAATAATTGCACTGTCTTTCAAGTATTATGGAAACAGTCATAATTACAGATAACACCAAAAATAATACCTTTATAGTTTTATAATGATTTACACATTTAAAAAGAATTTATATATTGATTTTGATTTGGGTTGTCTGAACTTTCAGAGACATTTTATTTCCTAAATTTATAGGAAACAATTTTAGAGGAGCAAAGAGATTTGTCCACAGATTCTAGTTGCTGATAGAGCCAGGATTATCATTAATAACTTAGTTTCAATTCTAGTGCTTGGGCTAGTCTACAATGATATTATTATACGTTTTTAAATTGTTGTTGTTAGATGTCATCAAGTGGGTACCTACTCATAGCAATTGTAGGCACAGCAGAATGAAACACTTCTCAGTTCTGTGCCAACCTCACATTGTTGCTGCCACTGTGCCAATCCTCCTAATTGGGATTCATCCTCTTTTTCTCCGACCCTCCATTTTAGCAAACATCACATCTTTCTCCAGGGATTTGCACCTTCTGATAATATGTGCAAAGTGTGAGTGATGAAGGCTGACCATCTTGGCTGCCAAAAAGTATTCTAGTAGTACTTCCTCCAACACAGATTTGTTTGTTCTTTTGGCAGTCCATGGTACTTTTAATATTGTCCTCCAACACCATAACTCAAATGCATCAATTCTTTTATTGTCTTCCTTATTCACTGTCCAACTTTCAAATGCATATGTGGTTATTGAAAATACCATGGCTTGAGTCAGGTGCACCTTACTTCTCAAACTGACGTCTTCGATCTTCAACACTGTAAAGAGGTCTTGTGCAGGAGATATGCTTAATTCAATAAGTCATTTGATTCCTTGACTGTTGCTTCCATGAGTGTTGATAGTTAGTCTGAGCAAAATGAAGTCTTTGAAAACTTCAATCCTCCCTCCATTTATATGAATGTTGTGTATTGGCCCAGTGGTGATGATTTTAATTTTCTTTCCATTGAGGAACAACCCATACTGAAGGCTGAGGTCTTAGATCTTCATCAGCAAATATTTTAAGTCCTCTTTGCTTTCAGGAAGCAAGATTTTATTATATGCATATGGCAGGTTGTTAATGAGTCTTCCCCCAATCCTGATACCACATTTTCTTCTTGTAATCCAGGTCTTGGATTATTTGTTTGCCATACAGATGCAATAAGTATGGTGAAAGAATACAACACTGGTGCACATCTTGCTGTTGCCAACAATGATATCCTTTGTTCCCTGTCCTCTTTTGAATCTATCTTAAATCTCTGGCAGTTCTCTGTCAATGTATGGCAGTTGTTGGTTTTAAATTATATTTATTAAAACTTGACTTGCATGTGATATTAGTGATATTGTCAAATGATTTCCATATTCTGTTGGGTCACCTCTCTTTGGAATGGGCACAAATATGGAACTCTTCCAGGCAGTTGGTCAGGTGTTTATCTTCCAAATTTCTTGTTAATGATGAGTGAGTGCCTCCAGTGTTGTATCAGTTTGCTGAAAGATTTCAATTTGTATTCCATCAATTCCCAGTGGTTGTTCTTTGCTAATGCCTTCAACAGAACTTGAACTTTCTTAAGTATAATTGGCTCTTGAAGAGATTTAAAATAGCTCAAGTTAATCTAAAAATATCAGTAATCCTTCAAAGAAAAGTATTTCTATAATGGTATGATCTTGATGAGGCATAACGAAGTTCTCAATAATGCTCAGCAGGGAACAATGTAGTAAAGCAATGCTAAAATGGAGCAAAGTTAACATGAACTCCTTCTTTTCAATTTTTGTTGTTGTTAAGTGTTGTTGAGTCAGATCTGACCCATCGTAACCCTGTATAAGGTTTCTGAAGAGCAAATGGTGAGTTTGAACCTCCAATCTTGTGGTTCAAATTGACTTTGCAGTCCAGTGTATTATCCGACAGCACCACACAAGGAATCGGTTCATTTCAATAGTACAATGTATTTCTGATTGTGCAAAAATGTTTTCCGTACAATACTATCCTAGGGAAAAGGCAGAAAGGCTATTTTAACCTTCTTCAATCAAAAAACAAGGAAAATCAGACAAAACATAATCACAGGATGGTCCCAAAATTCTGAACTTCAGAAAAATGGATAAATAAGTGGATCAAATGCTTACCAGAAGAAAGAATGTGCACAGAAGTAAGAAAGAAGGTGACTTATGATTTGGAGTGACTAGTGTGACCAGCCATGGCCATTTTGAACAGGAGTAGGCAGAGGAAGAAATAAGAGAGCATTCCTTATTCAGATGTCTACCTATGACTTGCAGAGACAAAGGTGAAAGTTTTCTTTGTTTATTTTTTTCTTTTCTTTTTCTACTTATTTTCTCTCTGGTAACCAGAGTGAATTTGAACAAATAGACACTCTCAGAGAAATTCAATGGCAGATCCTGCAACTCGATATTATCAAAGGAGGAGTAGCTGGTAGCAGCAGTCTCTTCAAAATCAGGCCTAGTCCACCCCTGGAATTGTTCTCACTCAGAGAAACAGCTGAACTTGCTTGAGGGGAAGAAAAAAGGGAAAAGAGAAAAGAAAAAGCTAGTGATCGATCAGTAATGCACAGCTGAACATCATGAAATTTCTCAGGGTGTTGTGAAGGCAAGAGTCCATTGCTGTTGTTCTTGTTGTTAGGTGTCGTAGAGTAGGTACCAACTCATAGTGACCCTATGAACAGCAGAGCAAAACACTGCCCAGTCCTACACCAACTGCACAATCATTACTACCTTTGAGACCATTGCTTCTGCAATTGTGCCAATCCATCTAGATGGGAGTCTCCCTTTTTTCCTCTGACCCTCCGTTTTACAAAACATGATATCCTTCTCCAGGGACTGGTTCCTATGGCAATATGTTCAAAGGATAAGAGACAAAATGTGACCATTTTGAGTTCCAAGGAGAATTCTGGCTGCATTTCTTCCAAAACAGATTGATTTGTTCTTTTGGAAGTCCATGGTACTTTTAATATCCCCGCCCCCCAATACTATGACTCAATTGTATAAATTCTTCTATGATCTTCCTTATTCACTGTCCTACTTTCACATGCATATGAGATTATTGAAAACACCATGACTTGGGTCAGGCACACCTTAGTCCTCAAAATAATATTTTTGCTCTTGAATCCTTTAAAAAGGTCTTGTACAGCAGATTTGCCTATTGCATTACACTATTTTATTTTTTGACTGTTGCTTCCATGAGTGTCAATGGTTTATCTGTGTAAAATGAAGTATTTGATAACTTCAATCTTTTCTCCATTAAATGTTGTTTATTTGTCCAGTGATCAGGATTTTTGT